AAGATGGAAAACATGTAGCAGCCTTCGAACGCATTTAAAGCAAGGGTGTGAAACACATGGCCTGCAGAACTGTTCCATTCAGCAGACTCCTGGAACTTGGGGGGGGCATTCTTCTGAATACAGTGTGTCTGGACCCCAATGGACATGCTTATCAGTGGCAGCCCCACAGACCCATGCTGCTGTCCAAAAACAGCCCTGTGCCACCGCACACACCCAAATATATGCTGCCTGCTGTGGACCTAGGCAAGATAATAGGAAGAACATGCTAATTACTGGGGTGAAGCAGGCTGCTTAGGGAGGTTGTGGGAGTTCCTTCACTGGAGGTGAAGAAGAGTTGGCCAAATAAGTCATAGACAGTCTATACAGGCCTGAAATCAATCTTACACATACAAGGCCTACATTTCTACAATTCTACTACGTGTCCCTGGTCACTTTGCTCAACTCTCTTTCTTGGTGCTGCACGATTATTTTAACTGTATACAACAGGGGTGTCAAACTCACCTGGTCTATAGAGCTGCAGGAGTGGCATAGAGCCAGTCTGCAGGTCAGATGAGGATCACAGCCTTCCCCCTTCCCCCCAGCATACCTAATTCCAGTTTGGGACCCACATGGTATTGATTCTAGAGAGCTGGAAAGGGCAATGCATATGGTATGATCCAGCTGAAGTAGCTGCCACACTGCGCATGTTGACCATCCCAGACAGACTGATATATGGTGTTTGCTCTGGGATGCACGCTGAACATAGTACCTGCTCCAGCTGGTCTGGACCCATGCTGCATGCAGCACTTGCAGGTGCCATGTGCAGTGTAGGTCCCAGATCAGTTGTGTCACATGCAGCCCAGTCTGAGTTTCTGCAGTGGGTGCTGCATGCAGTGCAGTCTGGCTGAAGAGGCTACCATGTGCAGTGCAGCTGCTGCTCTGACTGGATTGCACCACACAGGCACCCTTTCCAGCCACTCCGGTACCCAGGTCCCAGACCAACTAGAGCAACCACAAAATAAAGTATGCTGCGGGAGGGGGATAGGATCTTTGGGCCAAATCTGGAACGTGGATCTTGCTTACAGTTGGAGTTTAAGTCTTTAAATTATATGAAACCTAGAATTTGTTTCCTTTCGTACGTATGTAGCCAATGCCAAAATCAACTTTATGCCACTGGATTGCAGGATTGGAAGGAACTTTGTGGGTCATCTGGTTCAACCCCCTGGAAGAAGGCTACTTCAAAAAGGGTTTGATACAAGCTCTCCAGAAGTAACTGCAATTTAACCCATTCCAGAGCATCCTCAGTTAAGCAAATATGACTATTTCATATTTTTAATGCATCTCTTCTATTGTTTAAAGCTCAAGTGAGGCCAGTTTAACAAAAACGAAAAGGGTGCAGAACCAGTCAGTTTTATTTTTTTTATGTTTTCTAAAATACAGTATTTATGACTAATGATATTACCATACTTTGGTCTACAATATTTTTGGATATTTAAAGTCTGAAGTGCTCATCAAGGTATGTGAATATAGGAATACAAGCACACTTAAAATTATGGGAGGAGACAAGTGTCCCCAGGAATATTTTGTAAAGCAAGATTCAAAATGGCTCTAGAAAGCAGGGGTGTCCTTTATGGTGGTACCATGACATGTGCAAAAATGACATGAAGTCATTCAACATTAATGTAGAAAGCTGGAAAG